TTTCTGTGGGCGGGAGGAATGATTGGAACAAAGTCAATCCAAGAGGACGTCTGGATCCTCTCCGCCGAAGTGGGCAATGATCTCCTTGTGTCATTGAGCCACTGAGCTCAAATGTATTCTCAATATTCTTCCACAAACAAAGGGCCTGTCATCCCACACTCCCACACCATGTTTCTCTAATTATGTTGTTTGTTTTGGCAAGTGGTCTGAATTGAATCCAACATGTCCAATAAACAATTCCACAAAACTTTTTGGCACATGGTTCCTGTGTAATCAGCGAATTATTTTCTTGCCAACCCATGTTCCACCATCTGCCCATCCACATCTCGACACTACAATGCCAGGGTTGTTCTGGCCCCTCTTGGGCACCGGGCACTGCGCCCGGGAAGACCCTAAAGCGCCCTTCTTGCCGCGGTTCCGGCCACACAGCCCGAAGAAGCAACCTGGCCGCATTCTGGCAAGTGGCAGTCGTCAGCCGGGGCAGTTTCAGCATGACTTCAATGTTTCACCCCTGGTTTTGACGAGTTTGGGAACACATAAATTTTCTCGAGAAATTGGCTCAAAGGAAAAGACCTTGCACTGTTAAATGCCAACTCCTGGTGCTTCCAAACGTGACGGGCAAGGCGTGGCTGCTTCTGTGGACTTGGGCAGTCCGCGACCTGGAGATCGCAAGAAGGCGGCTAAGAAGCTGCTTCAAGAAAACATCTGCATCATCTCAGAGGTGAAACAGGCCGGCTGCTCGCTGTGTGCGCTTGCGGGAGTGTGAGTCACTGTTCCCAACAACAGCAACTGTGTTGAGATGAGTTCATGGATCTAATCTTCACGAGTTCGCTGTGCAGGTGTGGCTTGTGTGGCTCCAGGATGCTGCCTGGGCGTCAATTTTGCTTGGATGCTTTATCACTAGTAGGTTGGGATTTCTCAACTCCGTAAGCACCCCAGGGACTGCAGTGAGAGGCACCCCAAAACCTTCCCTCACCTCTGTCACTTCCCGCCTGTGCAGCCGGGATCAGTTCAAAGGTGCCATTGGGTCCTGCAAACGTTGCTGTGTGGAGGGCCCTGAGCCCCGAGGGTACTAGTTCAAAAGCAATGGAAGATTGATCCTTGACCCAAATGATTTGCCAAGAACCCCCTTCCTCCAATCATTGCTTGCAAGATGTTGAACCCCGGCCGAATCGCACCAAAATGAACCCTGGTGTGGCCTGAAAACATCCGCAAACTCTGGAAACTGAAACCCAAGGCACCCAAATCAACTAACATCAGCTAGCAAACATTGAGCCTTGTAGCAAACAACAACAACAAAAAACACACAACGTCCTGGTGGCCCACCCATTGCCTCAGGATGGCAACCGCACTGACATGATCTGGTGAATCAAACCCCACCTACAGAGATCTAAAGATCAGATGCAAGGTCTCACCTGTCTGAACTTCTACTTGCTCCTTGAAAGATCTCTTGGGGTGAGTGATACATGGTCAAGCGTCATCAGTTATATAAATGTATTTAAATATATTAGCACTAGACAAGAGTTGTTAACAAGCTGTTACACAACAACAGATTGCTGTACACTTCACTACACGGTTCGATAGTGCTCGATAGACACGACAATTTGGGTCCTGTGAAACGATTTGCATAAAGGATTCTACCCAACACTCTCATGGTTCAACAGGTTTGAGCAGACTCGATAATCCTTTGCAGGAGCTTCAGACTAGATGGCAAACCCTATCACATATCTCAAGGGGTTCCGCAACTGCCATCGCTTGTTGCCCAATCTTACCGCACAGCGCACCGTAGCGCACCATGCCAATCTTTGCATAATTGGTCAAAACTGTCCCAATCCAACCCTTTGTTTTAGAACAATCTGCCTGTTTCATCTGCCTGTTTCATTGCTTGGCTGCCCACCACTGTTTCAACAAACCGATTACTCTGCTCCCCCGGAAGTATCATCTATGATCATCTATGCACATGGTTAATCTCGATGATGATCAAGTGACTTTGAAGCAACAACGCGAGCCCTTCATGGTCTTTGATCCGCAACCCAATTAGATGTTCTCGCACACTTGCAACACCTTGAAACATTCTCAGGAGATGTTCGAAGAACAGAATCATTAAAAGCAAACAAATCCAGTTGCCAGTTGGGTCACATATGGTCATATTATATCTTTCCTGGGTCAATGCCTTGACACATGCCTTTCACACACCTCCAGGTTAAAATTGTATTCAGCTCCTCCTCTTGAAATGACCAAATTGGGCTTGCAACATTCCGCAGTGGCACATCTGAACATGCACATCTGCACATACGATCTCAATAGCGTGAATCAAGCAGAAGTCATCACGAAAGCTTGTCATGGCCCACAGGCACATCTTTGAAGTGGCAGGACCCTCACCCTGGCTTCTTGCCGTGAAACGAAGACATCCTGCACCATCTGTAATAGGGAACACATTGGAAATTGAAAACAACGCTTATATCATATTTGGGATGCTTCAGTGATTCCAGATGGTGTAGGATTCCATCGGTCTTGCAAATTGTGCCAAGGCTCACTGGGCCTTTTTCTCGAAACATCAGAATACTGGAAGTGAAGAATCAGTTTGGGACATGGATGTCCATGGATTTCCCAAACTGATTCGCTGTTCCTTGGCTCGCACACCGCACCGCACAACTCGGAGTGACAGTTCTGAGTTCACGCCACAGCCGCATTGGCAGCGGGCACGCGCCGCACATTCAGGTGTCGGAAGATCGCACCTTGAAATGCACATATCATTTGTGCAAGAGGTTGTTTTCTTACAAGGACTAGACACTATGTATCTATAGATAGATAGATAACAGAATAAATAATATATATAATATATCTTATCTACTGTACAAAACAGTAAATGCATCACCGAGTGAACCACATATGACATCATATGACAATGATATTTCGCACCCAAAATAGATCGAGCCTTGCATTCCACAGTCATTAAAGACTCAGAGTGAGGGACAAAGACTTCAAACAACTTCCAAGACAAAACATGGTACTGGACAAGCATACATGGCAGGGAAGCTGCCGACCACACTTGCAACACCTTGAAACATTCTCAGGAGATGTTCGAAGAACAGAATCATTAAAAGCAAACAAATCCAGTTGCCAGTTGGGTCACATATGGTCATATTACATCTTTCCTGGGTCAATGCCTTGACACATGCCTTTCACACATCTCCAGGTTAAAATTGTATTCAGCTCCTCCTCTTGAAATGACCAAATTGGGCTTGCAACATTCCGCAGTGGCATATCTGAACATGCACATCTGCACATACGATCTCAATAGCGTGAATCCAGGAGAAGTCATCACGAAAGCTTGTCACGGCCCACAGGCACATCTTTGAAGTGGCATGACCCTCACCCTGGCTTTTTGCCGTGAAACGAAGATATCCTGCACCATCTATAACACTGGGCCTTTTTCTTGACCACTAGCGGGTCCAGGAGATGCGATTGTCTTTGAAGTCTTGCAGCAATCCCTGACCCTCGTCGGTCTCCATTTTCTTAAACTAAGCTGCATCCCGACCCTGTGGTCCTTTGTGGTCACGGCACCAGCAAGTGTGAAAAGGTTCACTGGCAATAGACCTAATAAAGGAAACATCAGAATACTGGAAGTGAAGAATCAGTTTGGGACATGGATGTCCATGGATTTCCCAAACTGATTCGCTATTCCTTGGCTCGCACACCGCACCGCACAACTCGGAGTGACAGTTCTGAGTTCACGCCACAGCCGCATTGGCAGCGGGCACGCGCCGCACATTCAGGTGTCGGAAGATCGCACCTTGAAATGCACATATCATTTGTGCAAGAGGTTGTTTTCTTACAAGGACTAGAAATTATGTATCTATAGATAGATAGATAGATAGATAGATAGATAGATAGGTAGATAGATAGGTAGATAGATAGATAGATATGGTAAACACGTATATCTATGGAAATTATCTACATGCGGTTCAGCATAGCCACGTAGTCGTATCAAGGACTCATAATAACTCTAAACTCCTCCATCCAAATACTTTAATTTCAACATGCAATCAGAATGTCCATTGTCCATCTCTTTCCCCCACGGCGTTTGGCCGTATTTCGCCCTGGCCTTCCAACAGGCTCAGAGGTTTGGAGGTTTATGGACTTGCAATCCGGCAAAGGGGTGATTTTCCTAACATGAAGCGATTACGACTCACTCACATGTTCTGTAACTTTGCTCATTCTTATGAGAATGAGACTGCTGTACTTGAAATTAGCGCACCAAAAGCCACAACATTCTTGCGGCAGCGAATTTCTCCTTCACGGTCATTACATGGACTCACTTGCTTCTCCACCCACTTCACGGCGCAAGTCGGTCAAGACCTTCTTTAAGAGCATGGGGAAGTGTCCAGTCAGCTTGGAACAAAGCAGATTCACAAGAGCTGCAAAAGGCATGCGCCCTAGCGTGTTGGCAATCTTCCGTGGTGGAGCCTCTCGGGTGCCTTGCCGACGAAAGGGGCTAAAGCGGCTGAAGGAACGACAACAGCGGCCTGTTGGTTGCTGCTGTTGTTCTTGTTGGGGTTGTTGTTGGTGTTGTTGTGGTTGTCGTTGCACAAAGATCGAAGTCCGGATCAGCTGATCATACCACATCATACAACAACAGGGTGTTCATGAATTTTCCCCGTTCAACTGTCTTTTTCTGCGATCCACCGATTTCTACACGCCAAGAATAAAACACAGTTGCAAGCCTGGGTGGCGATGGGCTGAGATGGCAAGCTCGCGGTCAATGAGCTCAAGAAGGACCGCTGCGCTTGGATGATTCACGGCTTCCACAGCCTTCTCCAAGAAGGGATGAACGACTTCCTAGGCGCAGCTAGCCTAGTCGCCTAGCCGATCGTCGCCTAGTCCTTCTGAATTCTGCAGAAGCTATGTGAAGGATGCAAAAGACTTTTCTGCTCATGTGTTGAACATGCACATACACATACTGAAGTCACTGGATACTATGATGAGTATACACACTGCGATGATCTTTTACCCACTGATACAGTGAATAGGATAGACCCAAACTACACTTGCATCATGCATACACTGGAAGGCAAGGACAGTATACTCTGTACCTTTTGTTTGCTTCAAGCTTCAAGCAACCTTGCCTTTGACCAGCTTGCAATCATAGCCCGTTGCCGCTTATCAAAGGAAGCACTTGTATGCTGTTGCCGTGAATGGCAAAAACCACAATCTGCACCCTGGCACAGGGCGAAGGAATGGGGTGAATAGTGAACAAAAGTCACCAAAGCACTAAGTAGAAGATTTGGCAAACAGCAGGGCACCTAGTGACCTAGTGTCGCCATCAATTTGTCTCACCGCAATATCACGGAGCCTAACCCGGAAATCTCAACAAACCAGATCGCGACCAAATGCACAGCCTCTCACAGCCTACAGTGCCTACCGCCACTCTCTTTGCTTGACACGATCGTCTGTCATGGCCTTCTCACAACTCCCCCGCAAAAGGAGGATGCAAGGTCGACGGCACAAGTGTGGATGTCCATGGCTCCCCAATGATTCGCCTGAACAGCGTCAAGGGCTGTCGCCAAGAGGAAGGACGACGGAGGCCCCAAACTGCCAAACCCGTGGCCCGGTCTCTTGTACCCAGTAATTACTCTGGTTGTCTGAAATAAACAGAGATGTGATGAATCTATCTGGTGTTCAACACGTTTGCATAATTGTTTAATTCATCACCTTCAAACAATTATTCGGGGATGGGAAGCCACCCTACTCTGGCAGGGCTTCCTCCATGACCAGTCGATGATTGAGTCGATCCGTTTGGACGACGGAGACCAGTCGCCTTCCGCCTTCCCAGCGCGTGCTTGAAGGTTTGTAAGGCAGACCATCTTGTTTGGAGGGAAGGCAAATCTTCAAATCTCTTCTTACTTGGAACGCCGTCGTGGCCCAACCCTGTCTGCGCCTGGCTGTGGAAACTCCAAGGCCCTCTGCCTAGGGTTCTGCACGTTCTCTGATCGCTCGCGCAACTGGGAGATCTCAGGGCGCAGGGGCAATGTCGTCTGAAGAAAGTGGGTGCAAAAAGCTTTGCGCGGCGCTGTTCAATCATTTTGAGATCTTGATCTTGCTGTGTTTTGTAAATCTAACCCACAATGTTCGTGCAATAGCAAGCCATCTGAAATGTGTTTCCCCAGCCTTGCCCAGCTACTGCTTCGCTGCATTTCTCTTTGTACTTTGTTCCATCGGATTCATGTCTTGTTGCCAGTTTTTTGACCTTAACATGATATTTTCCAACCTTGCCATGCTCAGTTCCCGTGCACATGTTAAACCTCGCCTTAGCAAAAAAGGAATGTAACTTCACAGGAACATGGATCGTGGGGGGAATCAAAGCTAGTGAAAGGTGGATAGAAACGAAGTCACCAGCAAGCGGTGATCTGCAGGAGGCAATTATTCAGGTTCAGGTTATCCCAAGGTATAGCGTGATTTGACCTCGATCATAAGAACAGCAAGTGCGCCTGGATCTGGCTTTGCCACTCTTGCTGCATGCGGGTCGCCAAGGCCGGGCAACTTTTGGACTGGGGCAAGCGCGGCGCAGAAGCAGTGGGCACTGAGTCATCATCAATGAAGGTGAGATGATAACGGAGCTTGGCCATGAGCACTGATAAAGACAAGTGGCTACAAACTGACTCTTTTTGAGCCTTAGCTGCAAGCAACACAAGCGTCCTTCCCGAACATGCACCTCTCCATATCTACGTGCCTCTGCTTTCTGGAGATTTAAAGTGCAAGCAAACTAGGCCGCTTTAGAAACGCAAAAAGCCCTCCAAACATCTCCAAACCCTTCAAGGATCAGAGTCTCAAAAGAACCAAACCTCGGTGGATCCCATCTCACAAGCTTCTTGTTCCTAGTAGTAAGGCCAGGAGCCCCTAGTAGCGTCCTTGCTCCTAGGCTCGAGTGGCTCAACCACAACATCCTCGAAGCTTCGGCTTCGTGTGAACCGAACCTTCCCATCCCTTCCCCGATTGCAGCGGGGCTCCCTGTTGAAGACATTAGCCTTACTAAACAAACCATGACGACACTGAAACCGGAAACGGTACAGTAGATGCAACATAACCTGGACAGTCTGAAATTTGTTTGAGCCGGGACGCTGTGGTGTAAGACTACATAGTTAGTTAGTGGAAAGTGGCCAAGTTCGAGACTTCACAAGCTGGATTTAGTTTGGATGGGATCAACCAAGTTGTGGCTTGGTGTCAGATCGTTGCAAGCAGGAAAGAAACATATAGGGTTTCTTTTGGATGCAATGCATGCAATTTGGGATCTGTGGGCAAGGCCCCCACAGGTCCCCACCTCAACTAGGTTGAACATCTGAACGTTTGAGGGTGAAGTCTGTGACCCAAAACGCTGAGGTACTGACCTCTCCAGTCTTCACATCAAGCTGGTCATCCTGGGTACGCTCCAAACAGCATTATAAATGATTCCCAGCATTTGCTCACAAATTTAATTTTAGACTCACAATTCAGGCGCTCCATCTTGGACTCACCTAGCCTACTCTTTAGGAGGCCCTACAGTTTCATTTGCTCGGGCCACTCATGGAATTCCTGGGGTGGCTGCTGCTGGTGCTGTCGTCTTGTACTCCGCCACGCGAGTGTCGCTGTTGGGCAAATGCATTGCTGGCTCCATGGCCACCTTCGAGACCATCCAATTCCAGAACGAACGGTGCAAGCAAAGGCACTTCTATGTATTGTATGACCACTCAAGGTTCAAGATGTTGATCCATGTCCGCATGGCCGCCGTATGATTTCATATGAATACAAATGTGACAATGACCTGGGAAGATCACTGGTGCTAAAGTCTTTCCAACACCCGTGGCAAGCTATTCTTGACCTGCCCCAGGTGCCCCAGCAGGTGCCGTTCCTACGGTGCCCCAGGAACTCTCTTGCCTCCAGCTCTGAAGGTGGTGGGCTGCTGCGAGGAGTCGGCTGATCCGAGCTAATCCGGCTACCTGGAAAGGCTTCCGGGCGAAGGGGCGCCGAAGGTCCATCGGTGTGCAGCCAGGGCCACCGTCCATGCTCTGCACAGGCGTCCGTGATCCAGCTGGTCCAGTTCTGGAATATTTTCAGGTCGAAACGACCAAAACCGTAAGACATATAAAGACATTATATAACCTGTAAGGATGGGTCAATGGATCTCATGATATCTCCAATTCCTGGTCCACGAGTCACCGTAGGAAGGTGGACGTGTTCACTTAGCCAAAGCAACGAGGTGTGGAAGGATGTGGAAAGCATGACAAAGCAAGTTTGAGTAATTGTGGCAAGTCCATGCATTCTAGTTTGGCCAACAGGAGGATCCTTGAGTAACAAATGAACGAGCCAAAAATTGGATGAAATTGGTTGAGCAAGCGGCTCAGGGCTGGCAAAGACCCCCAATCAAATCCAATCAACCCATATCACCCCCCCCGCAAGCCCGTCGGCCCACCGTCTTCCCAGTCCACTCCACTGCAGCCGTCGTCGATCCTAGCCTCCAGCCGCGTCCGCGAGCGTCCGCGAGCCGTGACAGTGGGGATGTCCGGTGATTCGATAGTGTCAAACAATGGCCTCCAACCTACTAGCCCCGCCCTACAACTAGCGAAGGCCTCCAACCTATTAGCGATAGCCTCCAACCCATTAGCCAT